AATAATCCTAACCAAATAAGGATTATTCTTCAAATCCTAGCATACAAAGAGCCTATAAATGCATGGCTGCACAAGACATTCAAGGTAACTCTTTCTCTCCCAAAAAACCCTTTCCTGCCACCACTATTTCTCCTCTTTCTCCCACACGACTAAGTACCACCACACACGGCTCTAGCCATCCAGCTCTCCTCATGACAGAAAACTCCATCTATTTTAGCTATTATCGTATCTTTATCAAGATCCAATTGAACTAACTTGGGCATCGAAGGGTCTTTGGCCAACACCCCCTGGATGTGGTATATTTACTCCTATTTATTTTGCAAGGATCAAGGAGGAGAGAGAAGGAAGATCGAAGGTTGAGGAATCAACCCGTGAATATTCATAGTACGGAATTTTGCTCAAACATTTTGGTGCTTTCATTGAGAGATTCAAAATATACTCAATGCGATGCTCTCAAATATTGGTCAAGGGAAATCCATTTCCTTTCCATCATCGGTTTCATCCGAAACCCTCAAAATCATCATAGCAAGAATAATCACCACAGTCTAGCAGAATTTCCTCTAGCCACCCAATAAATGCATAACGACAAAAAAAAAAAAAAAAACAAATAGCTCAGCAAGGAGAAAACTATGGATCTGCTCTTTCACCGACGTCAACCACCAGGCTACCACGTGCGACCCGATCTATCTCATCATGACCAGGGATCTCTGACCTCCATGCCTAGAGACTCGTGTCGTCGCTAGCTGATAAGTCCATAAATTTACACATTTATGTAATCTTTATACTTAGTTTTTGTAGGAGAATTTGATTTAAAAAGGACTTATTACTTTATTTTCTCAATTTTCAACTTTCCAGAGCAAGTAAATTGTTTTCAACAAAAATACGAATTTTTGGTGGAGTTTTAGTGCAAGACTAGTTGGAGATGAAAGTTAAGATCTTGAAGATGATTGTGGAATTTTTCTAGAATTTTTGGAGCAGCCAATGAGAGCAGTCTTCGAAGTTAAGTCAGCATAAGGTGCAATCTGGTCAAAACTGTGCTGCTGTGGAAGAATGATTATTTGAATACTTTATTGATTTTTTCTCAAGGCCTGCGATATATGGCTGGAAAGATAAGACAAAAATCTACAATTTACATATTTTTCTCGAATTTTCTTGAAGGGGGAACGACCCCAAACGTGTGTGCAAAATAACTGACATGTTATCCCAGTCCAAGTAGGAAGAGGAGTCAATTACTTACCCATTTTGGATTTATGTTTTAATTAGGTTTTTCTTTATTTTTGGGCTGCTGTAAAATCCCAGCTAGGGTAGGAATAGAGGTGTGGTGTTCTATTTAAGGATGAGAAACAACTCATTTAAGGAGGGGGGGACACGCAAAGACTAGGAGAAATTGTTGACACTGGAAGAGTACTGCAATTGGCTAAGTTTGATTATTTTTTCCTTATGTTTTTGTTTATGTCGAATTCTATGATTATGTGTAACTAGTTTTCTTTTGCTAGGGCATGATGTAACCGTAGTATGATAATCTAGTTTTCTTATTTTACCTACCTATTGATTGCCATTTGATGTTGGATTCTTAATCACTGTGCTTAATAACTTGGTTGATTATCTTGATGCTTGATCACCATCTAGACTTTTAATTGAGTTAATCGGATGCAAATTAGAGTAAATATCATATTTAATTTGAGGCTTGGTTCTTGTGATTAGGATTTATAATTCGTCTAGGGTAAATACCATACTCCTAGGGTTTACATGCTTGTTTGAGGTTTTCACTGATCTTAATGAATTTCTATGTGTTGATATTTGACCTAAATACCATAGGTGAATTGTATGTAGGAATATACGAGTTAGTGAATTGTATTTGGCATCAGGTGGTGAATTGTATGAAAAAGGAAAACTAAGCGGTGACATCAATTGGTTAGTTAATAGGTAGGTGAATAAGAGGTTAGATCAGATTACTAGTGGTGAATTCATTGTCCTAGTGCTTCTATCAACTTGAATATCTCATTCTTTTGTTTCGTGACTTCCTACTTATTTTGTCTTTTAATTTCGTTGGTAATTAAATCATTCTTTCAAAAACCCCTTTTGTGTTTACGTGAGCATGCTACGTGTTTAATTTCTATTTATATAATTATAGTAGCTAAAGTATTTTATGAAGTAAATTAAGTTAGACTAATTGGTAGTTGAACTTAATCCTCAGGTTGCCTAAAATTCACAACACTAGTCGCAGGAAAATAGCCTAGCGGCGTTGGAAAATTCTCCATAGGCCCCGACCACACCATCGCATTCCTAGAGATCTGAACAGTAGACGCCGGCATGTAGTTCCACCACCTGATGCCAGCAACTCGCTAACGAAGTATCTCCAAAAAAACTAGAAGTGGCGACCAAGTTTCGTGGAGATCCATCCTAATATCGTTCTGTGACACCACTAGCGCCATCGAAACCAGCAGCCTCCAATATGTAAAACCCAAAAAGTCCATTGCCATTCGTGTTCAAAAATTCGCCGACGCCTCGTGAAAAACATCGTCGGATTTGCTTTGCTCCATCGATGACGTTGCACTCCTCCCCTTGCGACACCGTCACCACAAGTGGAACTTGGAGACTTGAGTCTATCTGCTTTGGGGAACATCAAGCCTTGTTGTCGCATCTCCAGCAACTGGGTTCCACGCACCGGCGACTAAGTCCGTACGCAGTAGTTGCAAACGGCTCCTCCCGTGGTCAAAGACATAAATAAAGCCTTTATTTCTGTTCCATATTTCATGATTTACAATTCTTAAATAAATATTAATATTTAATATTCTATTATGAATTAATGCTCTTTCCTAATAATTATTAGTATTTGATATTAATTTTGAATCAATGCAAATTCTTAATAGATATTCAAAATTAATGTTTTATTATAAAATTATTGCACATGCGTTATTTAATAATTCAATTATTTTGTCAAGGCACATGTGATTTTATAATTAGCATATAATAATGCTTTTATCGTGCCCACTAATTATATTTTTTCACTAATGATCAAGAAAATATCCAACGACTTGGTGACCAACTTGTGAATCCTCGATCAACCCGATAAATGATTCTCCGATCAACTTGATTCACGATCTGTCAGTTAGGTTGATGCAGGAACCTTTAAACGAGGCCGACAACCTCCAGTTGGGCCTCGTGGCCAAAGCTGAAAATCCAACTCATGGCCTTATGGTCGATGTTGGGATTTTCACCCATGGCATAGCCACAACCTCCTATCACGGCAATCCTGCTGCCTCCCCCAACTACGGCCGTTTCTAGGGCAATTGCGACCATTCCTTCCTTTGCGACCTTGCTTAACATTCGCAGCTCCCGCATATGCTTCTAACAAAACCTTAGCCTACATGCAATTGGGCTCCACACAATTCTCTTATCCTGATTCATGCAGTCAAGCAGACATTAGTCTTAGAGTTGACTAGCGGAATCAAAGAGTAGACGATCAAAACAACTTGGTTGGACAGCTCCTTAGCAAATTGACTTGGTCCAAGACATTGGCCGTGGATCCAATGGTGAAGAGAGAAGGATGGACGAATGCACCGGCTGACGATTTGAGATGTCCCAAGTAGGTCGAGCACGAACAAGTAAGCAAGAAGGAGATTGCATAAGGGCTTCGTGATTTTGGAAAAATCTTGGATAAACCGTCGATAAAATCCAGCATGACCCAGAAAGCTTCGAATCCCCTTTATTGTAGTGGGCGGTGGCAATTTCTCTATGGTATCAATTTTTGCCTTATCAACCTCTATGTCTTTAGCTGAAATTTTATGCCCCAGGACTATCCCTTCTTGCACCATAAAATGACATTTCTCCCAATTCAAAACCAAATTGGTTTCTTCACATCTTTTCAAAACTAATGCCAAATTATGTAAACAAGAATCAAATGATGAGCCAAAAACAGAAAAGTCATCCATGAAAACCTCAATGAAGTGTTCCACCATGTCTGAAAAAATGCTCATCATGCAACGTTGAAAGGTGGTAGGGGTGTTATACAATCCGAAGGGCATGCGCCTGTATGCAAAAGTGCCGAATGGGCATGTGAACATCGTCTTTTCCTGATCTTCATTTGCAATTGGAATCTGATTATACCCATAATATCCATCCAACAAACAATAATATGATTGTCCAACAAGTTTTTCCAACATCTTATCAATAAAAGGCAAGGGAAAATGATCTTTCCTTGTCGCAATGTTCAATTTCCTGTAATCTATGCAGACGCGCCACTTGTAGTTGTTCTTTTCGGGATCAACTCATTCTTATCATTTTTCACCACTGTAATACCCCATTTTTTCGGTATGACTTGAACTGGGCTCACCCAACTACTATATGAAATCGGGTAAATTATTCCAGCATCTAATAACTTTAATACTTCAACTTGCACAACTTCTTTCATATTCGGATTTAATCGGAGCTGATGCTCAACTGAAGTCTAAAATTATCTTCCATTAGAATTCGGTTCATACACATGGAAGGGCTAATTCCCTTAATATCTGCAATAGTCCACCCTATTGCTGTTTTATGTTCCCTCAAAACTCGTAGTAATTTCTCTTCTTCTAGTTTACTCAGATTTGCAGCAATAATCATAGGAAGAGTTTTAGAATTACCTAGTATGCATATCTTAAGTGGGAAGGTAGGGGCTTCAATGTGAGGGTTGGTGCAGTAATGACACTAGGTTGTGGCTTGGAGGTTGTGAGGCCAAGCTCCTCAAATTCGCGCCACCTTTTAGGAGGGCATGGTTTCATTGCTTCCAAAAAGTATACCATCTCAGAAATTTTAGGATCCTCATGCTCAGTAGTAATGGAATGGACAAGGCGAGCCTCTAATGGATCACCTGGATGTTCTGCTTTAAATTTTTTAGAGACAGCTATATCCACTCGGAAGCAAGAGTGATTCCACTGGGTACTTTGTTGCTTCAAAGACATTGAAAGTCACCTACTCATCAGCCACTCGCAAAATTAATAAACCTTTGTCCACATCAATTAATGTCCTCCCGGTTTTAGAAAGGGGCGGCCTAAAATAATAAGGGTTTCGGCATCTTCTTCCATGTCTAAAATCAGAAAATCTGCTAGAAAAATGAGCTTATCAACTTTGACTAACACATCTTCAATTATGCCTCTGGGATATGTTATGAACCTGTTCGCCATTTGCAGAGAAACAATGGTTGGGTTAATTACACCCAACCCAATATGTTTAGCAACAAAAGAAGGCATTAGATTAACACTGGATCCTAAATCACATAAAGCTTTTTCAAAGTAAGTGGTTCCAATAGTGCAAGGTATAGTAAAACTCCCTGGATCCTTTAGATTAGGTGGTAGCTTCCTCTGCAAAATAGCACTGCATTCTTCAGATAATTTAACTATCTCATATTCGCCCAATTTCCTCTTCTTTGATATAAAGTCCTTCATGAATTTTGCATAACTCGGCATTTGCTCCAAAGCATCGGCAAAAGGAATATTCATTTGTAATTTCTTGAAGATATCAAGAAATTTCGAAAATTGGGCTTCCACTTTGTTTTTTCGAAGACATTGCGGGAACAAAATTGGCGATACATATGGCTTTACAGGGGCAGTAGATTGCGGCAATTTCTCTACAGTAGTAGGTTCAATTTATGCAGAAATTTCATCAAGTTGTGTAGCGGTTCCAGCGGTGGTAGACGGCAACGGCGGCACGCTAGTAAGTTCTGATTTCTCTATAGTTTGCTGCTGGATATTCTTTTCTTCATCTAAGTCTACTGCTATTTTTATTGGCCTCCCATTCCTGTTGGCTGCGCAAATCTCACGGCCTGGTGCTCTGGGCTGAGGGGATGTGCGCGGGCGTGCCTGCACGGTCTACCGTGCGTCGAGATGGTGATGAGGTTTGGGTAGAAGATGGTTAAATGATGCGCCTGTTTTGAGTTCGACTCCTAATCAAACGATTGTGGTCGAGAGAGGAACTGATCTCGGCCATCAGGTTCATGGCCTAAGCTACAAGGCCGTTTAGTGGTGGTGTTGATGGCGGGTTTTAGGCGGTGCTCCGGCGCGTTGTTCAAAGAGCGACAGTTGTATGATATATGGGGTGAATGAGATGATAATAGAGATGGTGCTCCGGCGCCTTGAAAACCAAAGGTCGTATGATATATTGATGAATGGATTTTCCTTACAATCTACCACTACACCTAGGAAAGCAAATAAAGGTATTGAAAGTGCATGACAGGAAAATATAATTTGCTCCATAGGAAGCTTTTGGTTTGGTGTTTGAACCCCTTGAATGTAGTCTTAAGCTTAGTATTTATAGGGGGAGTCCTGAAGGGACAATCGAGGCCGAAAAGACCTGTGTGGTGGAGCCTGATCGGGGCAAGTGGGTAGTCAAATCGGCATTTGGGATCGTAAAGCATGGTGGTGTGACCCCCATAGATCCTGGTAAATCTCGGCCACTGCCCTGATCGTGGGTTCTGCCCCCTTAGCCGTGGGAACGCATTTAATGTCATGGTCTGGTGGTTGATAATCTGGCCTCAAGTTGTAAGATTACTTGTGAGAATATTGGCGCCTAACCACTCTGATTTCCATTACCAAATCCTGACTTCAGTCACTTCCCCTCTCCCCTCGTGCATTAAATGCTTCTTGCTACTAGTGGGCTTGCTGCGATAGTCAGAGACATTACTTCATCAAATGAGGCCACGTGGCGATTTAACCATAGTATCTTCAGCCATGTCCTTTACGGCCTTCGGCTTCGGCCCATAAAACCGCGGTCGCGAGGCCGAGAAGATTCTGCCTTTGCAACTTTTCTTTTGTTTTTAGGAAGGTGAAATGCCTAACGAAACGTGGCCGTTTCAGTCCATGAGTAGGTGCTAGGGCCGAGAGAAGGTCCCTTCGGTTAGTTTATGACCGTGATTTATCAGGCACAAACATTGCCCCCACATCCTTGGATTCTTTAGTTGCGGCCTGGGCAGAGGCCGAATGGATTCCAAGGGATGGACTCTTTGCATTCCTCCTGAAGTGATTGACAGTTGGTGCCTTAAATGCGTAGGTCGGTTGACGCATTTAATGCGCAAGCACTTCTTGCAAGCCATTATTGCCTTGATTCCCACGAGCCATCGCTTCGTTTCGTCAATTGAAACGATGGCCTTCGGGCTTCTGACACGTCACCGCGTATTCGAGCACGCTGTCAGACCGTTACGTCTCTCGAGAGGACCATGCCCTTTCGTTTCGAATTCTAGCACCCATATAAAAGCCTATCCTTCTTCATTCCTTCCTTACCCTTTCAGAATTTTCAAACGCCCAAACTCTGCCAAACTCTTCTCTCAATTCTTCAACCCTTTCGAACTTCACATTTCAGCACTCCACTTCTTTCTGCCTAGTTATCCCTTTGTTAGCAACCAACGACTTCAGAAGCTTCCTCTGCATTTCTCAGAAAACTCACGAACTCCTCGCCTGTTTTTTTTAGTGCTCAGCTCCCCGGTGCTCTTCGTGTTCATCACCCTTTCTTCGACTTTTTCCCTTAACACACCCTACTCCAGTCTATTTTAATGGCCTCCAGCACCTCTTCATATGTTGAAGCTCGGTCCCAAGTCTTCCAGACTGAGTTTGAAGACATTTGCCGAGAATTCCAAGACTCGGTCCTACCCAACAATGTCACACCCTGGACTGATGATGACGGCTCCATCACCGATTCCTGCATCCTCGGCCCCTCTGTAGATGGCTGGATGCCAGAGAGGCTGGTGGCTCATTTAAAGAACAATCTGGTGGACCTCTCGGTCTTTGACGAGGGGGACTTCCAAGATTGGAATGTCGCCAGGCTATAGCCCCAATGGCCGACCTTGATCCCAGACTGGGAAAAATGGCTGCCGAGGATGGAGCACTTCTTCGGTCAGCAATGGAAGGATCAAGGCATCTACCACTGATCACACTGTTTGATCGACCGCTCGTCATGAACCGGTCGCTCTTGGCCGCGGCCCTATGGTTCTGGTCGTCGACCACAAATACTATGAACATGGCTGCCCTATTCGGCCTCTCCCCTCTTGGCGTGGAAGTGAACTCCGCTTTGGTCGCCCCTGAGGCTGAAGGGAGTTTTAAGGCCGCATGGCCTACGGTCGCCAAGCTTGCTGGGAGTAAGGCGAAGAGCATGCTCAACTACTCCAGCTTCTACAGCAACTTCGGCGTGGAGGACAACGCCGATGATGATTCCATCTCTCCCTTGGGCGAGGTCGAGCATGCCGTGTTCTTGCTGTACTGGCTATGCAAGTTCATATTTTGCTCCCAGGCGAACAAAGTTACCCTGGAGTTCGCCCATCTGGCCGACTATCTAACGCAGGGCGGAAGGCTAGTGCTCGGCCCATTCTTCCTTGGTCATATCTATCGTACGCTTCACGATGTCGTCACGGATGGGATGAAGCCGAAGCACGGTGGTCCGCTATGGGCCTTCCAGTTCTGGCTGCAAGCTTACTTCCCAGAGCTGAGGAGGGCGGTCAATATTGCCGACACCGAGCCGTTGGCCAACGCATTCGTCCGGGCCCCTAGGAAGCATAACACCTCGACTTTATGCACAAATTTTTCTACGGCTTGATCGAGAGGACCGGGACGCAGTTCCGGGTGTGCCTTGCTCGGCCGTATCCTTTGTTCCTAGCGCACAACCTCTCCGTGATTCCTGACGGCGAAATGGAGAAAAATCTGAGGGAGATCTGGGGCTCCTTCTTGGTCGCACGCGACCTTCACTGCGGCCTGTCCAAGGCTGGGGCCGAGGTTTATCTGCCAAACTTTATGGCGCGGCAATTCGGCATGATCCAGACAGCACCGCTTCCCCCGTTGTCAATCAACCGGCTCTTATCTTGGAGGGCCGACGTCGTCCAACAGCACGGCGTGACTGGCATTTCCTTTCAACTTCAAAAGGGGATGACCTTCCTCACTCTGACGCCTTGGTTGCGTAGTAACGCGTATGACGAGGATGGAAGAGTCTGGTACGAGGAGTGCATCTCGGCCAGATTCATTCGGCCTGTTGAAGAGGCCGTGAGGGGGGCTTTGAAGAATGTCGATTGGGACCCCCTCCTTCCCAAGGCTGGCAAGGGGAAGAAGGCCTCGGCCGTGATTTCTCGACCGAGTATGCCCGCCGCAAACGTACCTAGGGTGGCGGCGCCTACTTTGGCTAAAGAAGCGATCGTGACTTCAACCGCGGCCCCAACCTCTAGAGCGCCGGCTGTGGTGGGGGGGCGAAAAACTTTGGCTTATAGGACCGTGCCATCTGCCCCGCCGGCTCGACCGATCGCTGCTGTTGGTAAGCCCTCTTTCTTTTATGCTTTGCCGTTAGCTTCTCCGAGCCACCTCTGTCTTTGTTTACTTTCTTCTTACCTCTTTTACTTCTCCCTGTACACACAGCCCCGGTGGCCGAAAGTATGGGGGCCGCAGCGATTGAGGCTGCGCCGACCAAAAGTGTTGCGGTTGAGACGGCAGTGTTAGAGCGGCCGAGAAAAGGGTCCTCCTTGCTTTTTCGGAGGGCGAGGACGAGGAGGAAGTCCCTCCTGTGGTCGTGAGTGAAGCCCCTCTCGTGACCGTAAGTACTTCTCCTTGATTTCTTTTCACCCCCCTTTTTCAGGCCACGCCCTTCCCCTCTTAATCCATTCTGATAATCTGGTCCTTGGGGGGGGGGGGGGGGGGGGGGCGGGCGCGGGCGGGGGGGGGGGGGGGTGGCAGAAATGCCGGATACCGAGACAGCCGTCGCAGAGGCGCTAGACATAGAGGAGGCCGCTGCGGACATGCCAGACGATGAGGTCCTTGTCGTGGAACCGACGTGGGCTGCCCTGGTGGAAGTCCCTTCGACCGCCTCTGCCGTGCCTACCTTGGCCGTTACCGCGTCTGTCGAGCCATTGTCGTTCGCTCCTCGTCGTCCAAGCAGAATTGTGATTCGCTCAGTAAGTGTTTGCTTTCACCATACTTTGTTTTACTTTTAGAATTGCGCCACATGCCTTTTGACCGAATTTTTTGCTTCTGGCCTCCCCGGTCATCGTCGCCACTATCCACGGTCGCTGTGAGAATGCCCGCGGCACTGTTGTCCCAAGACTCGACGGTAGTGACTGAGCTTGCAGTGGTTGAGGCTATGGCTACTGACACGCCGAGCCCACCGCCTGATTCTTCGACTGTCCTGACCGAGCTTGTGGTTGCAGAAGTTCTTGGGGCGCCGTCGACCGCTGAAGTGAGTATTTAGATTTTCACCTTGTCATTCCTCATGTCCCAGTTGGTTGTTTCCCATTTGAATCTCCTTTTCCATTTTCAGGAGACCACCGCCTCCGACGATCTCGCCGAACTGTACGCCAGCCTTCATGAGGAGGGATGCCGCTCAGTTTCGGCCCCCCTAAACGAGGATTCTAAGGCCGCTGTTGAACGGCTCCTAAAGTTCCTCTTCTCGGGAGTCCACGAAATGACCACGGCCGAGGCTTTCATGGAGTTCAGGTCTTGCCTGGATACGGCCATGGCGTTGGGTCTGCTGGACT